TATGCAGGAATGTATATGCGCTCCTTCCGAGAATACCAGTAGAAGAATTTATTATTTATATTTCACTATTATATAGTACAAAATACCAAACAAAAACAAAAAATAAGGAACCCAAAAGCTAAAAAAAAACTTTTGGGATTGCGGCTATTTTCGTGGGTCGGTCGGGAGGACGCACAACACATTCTTTAAGCGATGGCCGGGGGCCAGTGTGCTTCTTATTAAACGTATTTAACGTCGGTTGTTCATTCACACCTCGGATCTTCATCAGCAGAATTTTTCGGTTAAACCTCGAACTAACATTCTCCATTATGTCTTTGGTTAGTTTCGTTCATTCTCAAATGTATTTCGATCACCCTTGGGTGATACTATCACGTTTGAGAACACGTGAGTCTAACCATTCGTGCAGCGCGGAACTCAACCATTGCCGACAATCTGTCGGCAATGTAACACAAATAATTGCGATCAAAATAACAGATACACACAAACAACCATCAACGAACGAGGACAGCAATTAACAGCGCGCACAACAAAAAACAACAAAGGACAACTACCGCAATTACAATACAATACAACAACAATCACATGATGATAGTGAACACATATGATAATGAGATATATATACCAATAAACATAATGTCACGAACACCTACTATGGCTACACCAAGAACTAAACAACAACAATTTTTGTTGAGGGTATTCAATTTGTGCTCGTCATTCCGTGTGTAACATCCTAGGTTACGATGCAATCGTTCTTCAGTTCGTTTCCTTGTAAAGCCAGGCTAGTGTCGCGTGCGATTGAATTGCGACCGCGGCCGCACTGCAACTCAGCTGCGATCGCAGTGCTTAGGTCGACAGCAGACAGGACTCGAACAGCGACTGCTGTGGACGGCAGGCGGCTGATACGGTCGAAGCGACGATGCCTATAGATCGCGCAACTAAATGAGTGTTACAATGGGTCATGTTGAGCTTTGTGTGCATGTTGTGGTACATGATGTATGCACTATTGGTTTTATTCGCTGTGCATCGGTTCATTTATGCATACGATCCTTGTCGCACGATCGCAAGGCAGCTTTATGTCAGCGTAGATACCATGAAAAACAATGCTTTGTGGACGGTGGAACCAGTTGCATCGCCATCGCATCACGCTCGCAAGAGTTAGAACATGTGGGGCGACTCGCTGCGACTGCGCTGCGACCTGCGACATTTTTCCGGCTCACCTTTCTCTGCGACCCGCGATCGTCGCTCGCGCACTTGTACACAGTTGCAGAAAATTCAGTCACTACGGCAATCGCGTCGCGTCGCCCAAGGCCGACACTAGCCCCGGCATTAAAGGAACTCATTTCTCTCGGCAACAGCAGTAAGCCCAGGTTCGTTGATGACCGCAGTGCTGAGTGGAATGCTAGACCCCGCAGACTCGATGATGCAGTTCTCGAGGAAGACTAAAGCTTTAGTCATGAACATCCCAAAGACGACCACTAGGCCAAGGTAAGGTTTCGCCGTCAAACATCAGTAGAGCACGGCGTACCATTGGCCTTTTCGTCATCAGCGTAGGTATCGAGAGTTTCATTTTGCATAGTTCGATGACAGTTCTGTGTATAGTGTCTCTGGAAAAATTCTTCTTATTATTTATTCTATATATTTTCGTATCTTCACTATGTCTATAGTCTACTTAGGCTATCTTCATTATCAATTCTTAGGCAACTATTAATCAGGAGTGGTAATAGAGATCTCTCATTATCCACTCCTGATATTATGCCCTATACATAATTCTATTAGACTATAATTAACCTAATAATATGTCTTAGAATCATTTATATCTGTGGTTCCTTCGAAACTGCATTTTGTGGAAATATTATTTCATTTACATACTCTTAATCATATTCAAAATTCACATCTTTCTTGCTGTGGCACATGCATCAGTTTCTAGCCTTCTATCATGTTCATTCGGTAGTCGTTTGGTGCCGTAGCGTCGCCATGCATGCCTACCGCACCAGGATGAACTCGTCGGCGAATGACGCATTGGACCCCATGTGCTGCCGACGTGTCAGATATTCACGACGGGAAAATATTATACTTTACATGTTTACCTATTAAAAATGTCAACATTTCGTCCTGCATGCTATATTATCGTCGTGGCAGTGACGCACTGACCCCTCTGTGCCTAGCTAACTTGGCAGGTAATTCACGAACGGGGGGGAAAACTAACATTCATTTGTACATATATTTACACATTAAAAATTCGATCTTCCGTGGCTTGCGATGCATAGTTGTCCGTCGTTGGCCGATGCCGCACTCATCGACCCCGCGTGGCTGCTACCATTTGTAGGTATTCACGAGGGAAGAAGCTTCGAAGGATGATCGCGGACCTGTGTAAGAGTACACACGTGCTGGTGTTTGCCGACGACGGTTTACGAGTGGCCTGCTCTATCATCGATCGGACACCAAGCACACTGCGTATATGGTAAGCGTCGTTCACATAACACAGAGACGCATTCATCGGTAAGCCTCTGACTGTTTACAGAACACAAGCATACAGTTCATACGGTGAGGTACTGTCACAGAACAGAGAAGGCACACGGAGCGTCGTCGTGATCGAGTGAGTACGTGTTTCGCTACCCTCCTGTCTTGTAAACGTATAATACGCGTCTGCGGACGGGCGCTTGCGCGCTTCTAAACGAATCTTCACGACGTAACACACACAATCTTCTCCCTCCTGGGTTTCTCAGCAACGCTAGCCAGGCATGTGGGAACAGAACTCTGAGCATCAGCAGTGGCGGGGCAAAACGCTCAGCGGTGACCGGATGGAAGGTTAGACGCTAGTGTTGCCACCCCGTCAGTTAGCTATAGTCACGCGCAAATACACCGTAGTTGGGCTACCGAAATGCAGTCCGAATGGCAAAATAAAACTGAAATCTAGATTCGAGAAGTTATCGATTTTTTTTCGGGGGTCACCTGAGTTTGACTGGAAGTTCTAAGTTGCGTGTTGGTGTGTGTGTTTGCTCGCGGAATTCGCCCGTGAGTCGTCCTCTCCGCGGGCCCGCTCTGAGGTGTTGTCGTGCATGCTGGTGGACGCGTTTATAACCCTAGCTATTTTCTGATAGTCTGTCCTCCACCTCTCATGTGTACCCTCTCTCTATTAGGCAAGACCATAATTTGTGCTCAACTTATGCAGCCTTGACAACTTTATTCGTGACGATAGTCAACTTAAAACCCTACGTTCTTGTCTCGTCTAGCTCCTCGCCTCCGTCTTACCCTCTCTCATATGAGGTAAGCCTTGCTAAGCGCGTATTACCTTAATAGTATCTATACTTAGTAATATTACCTTATAAGGTGATCGCTTATATAGACCCAAATTAGTGTACACTTATGCAGTTGTGACAACTTAAGTTCGTGACTTAGTCAATTTAGGAAACCGCTACGTGTTGGCTAGTCTGGTTCTCGCTCTTCACCCTATGCTCTTTCTCTAGCTCGGCTGGACGGTGGCACCAGACCATCTAATGAAGCACGCTTAGCGATTCACCACGAACTGGTCTACACACTGCGCGCCGAAGAGCGCGAACCTGCCGACCGATCCGTGAGCAGCGTCACGCTAAGGCGTGGGGTCGCCGACGGCGATGCGAGGGTTGCGGCGGGTTCACCCTGACGCGCAACGCGAATGTCTAGGGGTCAGAGACCAGGCAGACAGTGCGAGGTCGTGGGTGTCACCGACACGACGCGCGATGTCTAGCGGTCAGAGACCATGACGCAGTGTGAGGTCGTGGGTCGCCGTACCGACGCGATGTCTAGTGGGCTCAAGAGTACATGACACACCGTGCGAGTCGCGGGGTCACCGGACGCAACCGAGTGTCTAGGGTTCAGAGACATGACGCCGCCTGCGAGCCGTCGCGGGGTCACTGACACGACAGCGATGGTCTCCCGGCCAGAGACATGACCGACGCGAGCGTGCGTGGG